TTTCATAAAGATTTTTTTTAACGAAGGGGGGGATTAAATAGTAGTTGCCCATATTTTCTTTTGTTCCCCCAAATTTCTATATTAATCTAGTGAACAAATATTTATTAAACACTTATTTTGTTGCCAGTCACTGTGCTAGACACAGGGAACATTGCAGTCATGCTCCCCCTTCATGGGAAGGACAGACAGTAAACAAGAATTAACAACACTGCCCTAGGCGGTATAGCTCAGTTTGTTGTAGCATCATTCTATGCACCGCAAGGTCACAGGTTCATTGTCCAGTCAAGGCAACTGTGTAGGTTGTGGGTTTGATCCCAGGTTGGGATGCATATGGAAGCCAACCAATCGATGTTTCTCTCTCTTCCTTCCTCTCTAAAAAAACAAAAATCAATAAAAACATATCTTTAGGTGAGGATTTTTAAAAAGGAATCAGTTACAATGTGGTCAGTGCTATGAAAATTCAAAACGTGATGTGCTGGGTGAGGTGGGTAGGAATGGATGATCAGGGAAGTCCTCTCTAAGCAGGTGATATTTGAACTGAGATGTGAAGCATGAACGTAAGTCAGACTTTTCTTTTTTTACATTTTACCGATTTTCATTTCTAATAAAATAAAGATTAAATAAATATTAATCTTGAATATCACACATAACAAAAAGCTCTTTGGGGGTCATGAGACTAAAAAGTGAGAAAACCACTGTGGTTTATCCCCAGCCATGATTGATCCATTTCTTGTTCTGACCTCATAAGGCGCCACTGTGATGGAATTGCAAACCATTCCTGTATAAGGTCTGGGCTGGGCTGAGATTTTAGTCTGTTAGATCCCAGGAAGCTGATTGGTAGTGACCTGTTGGACATGGACTAGTTGGCTTATTTTCTCGTTTTTTTTCTCCTCCTCTTTCTCTCCCTCCTCCCACAGATCCACTTCAGTGAGAACAGATATCAAAGAATATTTTTTATTTTTTAAGTCACTAAGTGTGATGACTTTGCAGCCATCTCTGCCAATGAGGAGTGCCATATTGGCAACTACCTCATACTCAACATCATTGGGAAGGGATGCTTTGGAGAGGTGAGGCTGGCTCGGCACGTTGTCACCAGCACAGAGATGGCTGTGAAAGTTGTCAACTGGCAGAGTTTCTCTGCTGTTCTCCAAGAGATTCATTCTCTTAAGGAACTAGATCATCTTAATATCACCAAGATGTGTGAAGTCATTACCACCGAGGACCAAGTATATCTCTTCACGGAACATGCCAATGAAGAAACATTATTCAACTACTGAGAGAACTGTGGCCCCATGACGGAAAAGGAAGCCCAAGCTCTGTTCCAGCCATTACTATCAGTCGTCCATTACTGTCACCAGAGGCACATCATACATCAGGATCTAAAGCTGGAGAACATACTTCGAGGTGGTGAGATGGATGTTAAATTAGCAGACTTTGGCCTCAGTCGGATATTTATGGAAGAGAAACTGACTCCCTTCTGTGGTACTACCCCCTATATGGCCCCAGAGTTGTTCTGGTTCGAACTCTATGAGGGCTTGAAGATGGATGTCTGAAACATGGGGGTAGTGCTCTAGAGGATGGTGACAGGAGAACTTCCATTTGTGGTAAAGAATTTTGACGAATTTACTGAGTACATCTTGAATGGGTGCTTCTTTATACCATACTTCCTGTCTCTACAATGCCAAAAACTGTTATGAAAATTAATAACCCTCAACGCTAGCCAAAGACCAACCCTGGAAAATATCATGAAAAACTGCTGGGTCAACATTGGGCAGTTAGAGGAACTGAGACCAGACATAGAGCCACCTTGGGGTGACGCAGCCCCCCAGGTAGCCCAAATAATGAAGAAGCACGAATATGGGAATTACTCACAAGAAAAACATATAACAACATCATGGGCACTTACCTCACCTTAGATAGCATGAAAACCAAGATTTGTGGCCTCAAGATCAGGGTAAGGCCCTGCCCCTCCTCTGACCCCAACATCAGTCTTTCCCCAACCCAGGGGTTTCAGGCATCCGGGCAAAAGGGCAGAGATCCTGGGACTCCATCACTCAGCCTAGAATCAACTATGCCCACTCCTCCGGGCAACCTGGAAGGGAGCACCACCCCGCCCCCTAGGCTGCGTGGGAGAAAGGATGACCTTTCACCCAGCCAGTGTGGATGCAAGCACCACACCTCCCTTACCCAGCCTAGAATAAAGGACTGCCATCCTGAGCCCAGCCCTCCAGCGTGATCCCAGGAGACTGTGAGCAACTTGAGGACAAGGACTATGTTTTGCATCTATGGTGTCGAGCAGGATGTCTTGTCATGTAGAAGATACTCTACAAACCTTTCTTGTGTAAACAAATACCACATGGGTGAATGTTTTTTACAACTCATTGTAATGTTGGATCTTTAACTTTTCCTAAAACAAGACTTTAAAAATTTATTCACAATAAATAATCTGATGTACAGAATGAACTGGTGATTATAATAGAATCAGGGACATAGAAAGGGAATGGACTGACTATTCTTGGGGAGGGGGGGATGGGTGGGAGATGCGGGAAGAGACTGGACAAAAATCGTGCACCTATGGATGAGGACAGTGGGTGGGGAGTGAGGGCGGAGGGTGGGGCGGGAACTGGGAGGAGGGGAGTTATGGGGGGAAAAAAAGAGGAACAAATGCAATAATCTGAACAATAAAGATTTAATTTTAAAAAATTTATTCACAGACAGGGTATTAAAGAATGACATTCAAGTTTTAAAAGAAGAGTATCGCTTAGTTCTGCAACCTGAAGGACTATAATCTGCACAAAGCAGAGTATACAAGAAGAGCATCCCTGGAAGGGGCGGGCGGCAAACCACCAAGATTCATCCCAGTCCTCCAAGGCGCCTAGAGAGATCCCGGAAATGCCCGGGAGGGTGTCTACCGCAGGGAGTCGGTGACGCACTTCCGGCCCGAGTTACTAGTTTCTGTTGATTTTTTTTTTTTGTCACGGGACGGGCCGGTCCTAAGTGGCGAAGCCGGCGGTGGGAGGACTCCTGCAGGGGGCCGGGTGGATTGCGCCTCTACATAAGGAAGGACGATGAGTGCCGTGGGTTTTTGCAGGGTTTGCTCGCTTCTCACCTGAAGGCAAAACTCCGGGAAAGTCAGCGCGTGCTGAAGAAAGATGAGCTCGAGCTTGGTCGCAAGTGAAGGCAGTGACGCCGAGGCGGGGGCCCGGTTGGTGGCCGCAGGGCCGGGGGTCGCCGCGCCGCCCCTGCGTGAGGGACTTCTGATAGTGAAAGTGGAGGAAGACTCACCGGGAGTTCGGGAGCCCGACCCGCCTGTGGACTGTCTGGATCCCGAAACTTGTCGACAGGATTTTAGGCGGTTCCGTTATCAGGAGGCGGCCGGACCCGAAGAGGCGCTGAACCGGCTCCGGGAACTCTGTCGGCGGTGGCTGAGGCCGGAGGTGCACTCGAAGGAGCAGATCCTCGAGCTGCTGGTGCTGGAGCAGTTCCTGACCGCCCTGCCCCCGGAGCTGCGGGACCGCGTGCGGAGGCGCGACCCCGCGAGCGCCGACCAGGCTGCGGCCACGGTGCGGGCTCTTCGGAGAACGCGCGGCGGAACCTCGCTCCCGGTGAGGAGTGCGCTGGTGGTGGGAGTGCGGGGAAGGGAGGTGTATGAGTTTCAGAAGGTTTTTTTTCTTCCCTACGACATTTTGTGTGCACTTTAGAATGTGCATAAAACTTCTTCCTTTCCGTGGGAAACAGTGACGAATCCATTCAGGAAATGATCCTTGAGTTGGAGACCGCTCAGCACAACACCTACTGGAGGGTGTTGTTGACTCACTGTGAGACACCCTTTTGTGTAACTAGTTGTTGGGGTAAGAAAGATGTCAGATGCTAGAAGAGCAATGCCCCACCACTTTGAATGTGAGGTTCCCTTTTTACTCTTTTAACGGTTTGGCGACTCCCTCCTCCCACAGCTGATAATAGTGCTCCAGAGAGGGGAGAGAGGCTGCAAGTGGAGTTAATTACTGATCACACTTACGTGATGAAGCCGCCATAAAAGTTCCAATTGCATGGGGTTCAGGGAGATTCCAGATTGTAAGTGCATCCACTTAGCGGGAGAGCAGTCCACGCCGAGCTCCATGGGGACAAGCTTCCGAGCGTGGGACCTTCCCAGACCTTGCCCTATGCATCTCCTCTATCTTGTGGATTCTGAGTTATAACCTTTTATAATAAGCTGGTAATCTAGTAAGTAAATTGTTTTCCTGAGTTCTGAAGCTGCTCTGGGAAATTGATTTTGAACCCAAAGAGAGGGTCAAGGGAACCTCTGATCTAAAGCTGGTTGGTCAGAAACAGGGTGTGGGCTTACAGTTAGCATCTGAAGTTGGGAAGGGGGCAGTCTTGTAGGACTGATCCCTCAACCTGTGGGATCTGAACCCATCTCCAGGTACATGGTGTCAGAATTGAGTTAAACTGTAGGATACAGCCAGCTGGTGTTGGAGAATTGCTTGACGTGTGGAAACACATCTGGTGTTAGAAGGGAAATAGTTTGTAATGAAGTATTAAGAGGAGACACACAGGAGTGTGGTTTTCCTTTACACAGAGATGGAGGAGAGGCTGGGCGAGGGGGAGGGTGTGAAATGTCCTATACTCAGGTCCTGGAGACAGGAGGCACTGCATGCTACACAGAACCTCATGGGAAAGACACCAGGTGGTAGTCAGGAGGCAGGTGACAGGAGCTAGGGAAAAGTTAGGCCAGAGTCGAAATTGGGGTTTTAGAGGGAAAGGAAGAGCATGGCAGGGTAAACAATAGGATTGCTTAGTTTAAATCTTCCAGTCAGCTGTAAATTATGCCGTGGTTCCTAGTTGCCTGGTACCTGACCTTGGGATGATTAAGGCAGAGGCTGATCTTGCCTCCTTGGGTGTGCAGGCCCCATAGAGAAGATAGGGCTCTAGATTAACCAGTCTCAGCTGAACCTTCGCTCTCTAAGAATTGGCTGACACTCAGAGGGGAAGTCTCCCAGCCAGAAAGTTTTTTTTATTAACATGTCAAAACATAGTAGAAAATTTAAAAAAAAATTCCTTCCCTCACATTGAGTGTGAGATTTTTGGAGTCAGTTGGTGAGTCATCACTGGAACCTAGACAATCTCTCTGCACCAGTTTTAGAACCTTCCCTCTCTAAGAACTGTGGCTTTGCCTTCTGTACATAGTCAACTTACATTAAGATAAGCTTTTCAAAAGATCATCTTATTGGGTAATCATCTTATTGTGCAATGGTCAAGGAAGGGAAAGGAAATTTTATTAAGTACCTGCTGTTGATGAGGTACCTTCATCTTCTTAAGACAGATATTTATATCCATTTCACACATGAGGAAACAGAGCCAGCATTGGAATTTAGGACTCTGGTCTGGTTATCTATACATTTTTAATCTATATCGGATTTCCATTTTGATAAATCATAGTGATGTAACGCAAATGATTATTTTGCTCTTACCCCAAGTTAGTGTAGACAGTCCACAGAATGGCTTTTTGGGATTGCAAGAGAACGGCAGCTTCTGTTTTTGGTCATTTGAAACTACCCAGTCAGTACAAGAGTCACTGGTAAAGGCTCAACAGAAGTGTTTGTTTCTTCATTCTCAGTGCTTCCTCCTCAGTACTGGCTGACTGAGTCTAGCCTTATCCTGAGACTAGTGGTAAGGCTATCCTGGGACAGCAGGTGCTGACGGGAGGTCTCTTTTTGTTTCAGGGATTGGTGAAGGTCAAGGATGTACCTGTAACATGGGAGGAGTGGGAGCATCTGGACCCAGTTCAGAGGGACATCTACAGGGAGAGCACGCTGAAGGATTATGGGAACACAGTCCTACCAAGTAAGTGCTATGACTTTGCTTGTTTCTAGCTGTGTGTCATTTGTGAAGGGTTTGCTTTAGTTTGATCCCTGAGCCAGTCTGCCACTCAGAGAAATAGGTTGAGAGTCCTAGGTTCTCTTTTGTGACGTTAAGTAAGACCTTTTTGTTCTGTTTTGTTAGGTGACAGATTCAGCTTCTTGTTTTAATTCATTTTCAATAAAATGCATACAGAAAAGTATAATGGACACCTCTGTATCTACCACCCAGGTTTATCAGATTTTAATATCAGCCACATTGGCTTCATATTTTTTTAAAAATATATTTTATTGATTTTTTACAGAGAGAAAGGGAGAGGGATAGAGTTAGAAACATCGATGAGAGAGAAACACCGATCAGCTGCCTCCTACACACCTCCTACTGGGGATGTGCCCGAAACCAAGGTACATGCCCTTGACAGGAATCGAACCTGGGACCTTTCAGTCCGCAGGCCGACGCTCTATCCACTGAGCCAAACCGGTTAGGGCAGCTTCATATTTTTTAAAAATAAAAATGTGTTACAGCTATATGTGTACCTTCCTTGAAAGCTGCTGGCTTCCCTCCTTTTCCAGAGGTAACCAATATCTTGTGGTATTTATCATTTCCATGTGTGTTTTATATTCTTTCTATATATTCATGTAGACACACACACACTCACTCACTCTCTTTTCCTCTCTCTATATATGTGTGTGTAAACATGTATATAAAAATGTAAATATATGGGCCCTGGTGAGATTGAAACGGGCCCGGTGAGGTAGGGACGGCCCTGGTGAGTTTGAAACGGCCCCAGTGAGGCTGAGACGGCCCCGGTGAGGTTGGGACTGCTCCAGTGAGGTTGGGACAGATAATGGGGACCAGTATAGACTGATGAACAGGGGTAGATGCAGAGGCAGAGCAACACTGAACAGACTGTCAAACTACAGTGGGAAGCCTGGGGAGGGTTTGGGGGGGGATTAAGAGATCAACCGAAGGACTTATATGCATGCATATAAGATTAACCAATGGACACAAGACACCGGGGGCGGGGAGTAGGGGCCGGGGGAATGTCAAGGGGGGGAAAAAAAGGAGACATATGTAATACTCTTTTTAATACTTTAAGAAATAAAAATTATTAAATTAAAAAAAAGACAATGTGACAGTAACACAGGAATAGACAAATGCACCCAGAATGTGAACCCAGACTTTTGACTTAATAAAATCAAGAATAAAAAAAAATGTAAATGTATGAATGTGATTATATAAACATATATATACTACTTTAACATGTTTTTATGGTATGTATATTACTGTATGATTCTATTACACCTTGCCTTTTTCCAACACTACATTTTTTTAAATGTATATATATTTTATTGATTTTTACAGAGAGGAAGGGAGAGGGATAGACTTAGAAACATCGATGAGAGAGAAACATCAATCAGCTGCCTCCTGCACTCCCCCCACTGGGGATGTGCCTGCAACCAAGGTATATGCCCTTGACCGGAATCGAACCTGGGACCCTTCAGTCCTGCAGGCCAACGCTCTCTCCACTGAGCCAAACTGGCTAGGGCCCAAAACTACATTTTGAGATTTATCCACGTTGATATATATCGCTCTAGTTTATTCATTTTAACATCCATATATACATTGTAGAATATTCCTAAGTTCATTTATCCATTCTCCTGTCAATGGAGATTAAGACTTTCAGTTTTTCACCATTACCAACAGTATACTGAACATTCTTTTGTCTTTCTCTCTGTGCTCATATGTAGGAGTTTCTGACAAGAATATACTTAGGGATATTTGCCCATCTTGCTGTCCAGAAGGATACAAGCAGTATACAAGAATTCTTTCTCCATATCCTTGTCAACATTTGGTATTCAGCTGATGGCATGATGTCTTAACACAGTAGTCTCAGTATTCCTTTTAAAAATAGAAGAACCCAGCAGGCATGGCTGGTGGTTGAGCGTCGACCTATGAACCAGGAGGTCACAGTTCAATTCCCAGTCAGGGAACATGCTGGGATGTGGGCTGGGTCCTCAGTGTGGGGCATGCAGGAGACAGCCAATCAATGATTACCATCATTTATGTTTATTTTTTTAAAAAATATATTTTATTATATCCTATATTATAAAAGCCTAACATGCTAAGTGTCTGGTTGACCAGTCAGCCGTTCAACCAATCAAAGCGTAATATGCTAATGATATGTTAAGGCCACTCAACCGCTCACTATGACGTGCACTGACCACCAGGGAGCAGACACTCTGACCTATAGGTTAGCTTGCTGCTGGGGTCCAGCCGATTGGGACTGAGCAAGACTGGCTGGACACGCCCTGGAGCCCTCCTGCAGTCCCTTCCCGGCTGGCCAACCTCCCAAGTCCCTCCCCGGCCCCGATCATGCACTGGTGGAGTCCCTTGGCCTGGCCTGCACCCTCTTGCAATCTGGGACCCCTTGGGGGATGTCAGAGAGCTGGTTTTGGCCCGATCCCGCAGGCCAGACCGAGGGACCCCACTGGTGCATGAATTCGTGCACTGGGCCTCTAGTATATTTACTGTATATATTAAAAATAAATAAATAAAAGGAGAAGGAAAAAAAGATTAAAAATATGAACAACAAAATGGCAATAAAAACGTATCTATCAAAATTGAATCTAAAAAAAACAAAATACTATCTACATTCACCTACATATTGAATAACTTTTCTTTTACAGCTTTTACACTTTCCTTTTACAGTTTTCCCTGGAATTAAAAGTGCCTCATTCTGCATGTGCTTACTCTTCTAACTACTGAACACTAGTTCACTCACAAGCTTTCTGTTAGAAATGTAAAACTCCTTTCAACATGTTCACATATATCAGATATGCCATCATTTAAATATCCCCTTGGAGAGATTCCCCTGAGGCTTCCTCTGCTCCAGTGGAATAGGCTTCTTCTCCAGACCTGTTATCCAGCTGTTGTCCTAGACCAGTGATGGCGAACCTATGACACGCGTGTCAGAGGTGACACGTGAACTCATTTTTTTGGTTGATTTTTCTTTGTTAAATGGCATTTAAATATATAAAATAAATGTCAAAAATATAAATCTTTGTTTTACTATGGTTGCAAATATCAAAAAATTTCTATTTGTGACACGGCACCAGAGTTAAGTTAGGGTTTTCAAAATGCTGACACGCTGAGCTCAAAAGGTTCGCCATCACTGTCCTAGACTCTCCTTCACTATCACCCTGGGAATTCCTTTTTTCCCCGCTGGATCCCATATAATTTTCTTCCTTCGTTTTACCCCCTTGATTTGATGGAGAACTCTTCTAGTGTGTTCCAGAGAACATATACTTGGAAGCTAAATTTTTTGAAACTTTGTCAATTTCAGAAAATATATTTAGTCCTCTCTTACATTTGTATTATAGTGTGGCTGGATGTAGCATTCAATATTAAAAATAACATGTTTGAATTTTGAAGACTCAATTTTCTGGCTAGCTTGCCATGTTGCTATTGAGAAATTTTATGTCACTGTGATATTTTATCCTTGGCATACAATCTGTTTGTCCTGTGTAGAAGCCTTTAGAACAGCGGTTCTCAACCTGTGGGTCGAGACCCCTTTGGCGGTCGAACGACCCTTTCACAGGGGTCGCCTAAGACCATCCTGCATATCAGATATTTACATTACGATTCATAACAATAGCAACATTACAGTTACGAAGTAGCAACAAAAATAATTTTATGGTTCGGTCACAACATGAGGAACTGTATTTAAAGGGCCAGAAGGTTGAGAACCACTGCTTTAGAAGCTTTTCTTTATTCCTGCTACTATGAAATTTCACAATGGATATGGCTTAATGTGAGGTAGGTGTTTTTTCTCCCCATTCATTGTTCTGAGTAGTTGGCAGGCCCTTATAACATAGACACCCATATCTTTGAGTTGTGAGAAATTTTCTATAGTATTTTTTTATTTATCTATCTACTTATTTTTATCTCATTTTTACTATGTTGTTTCTGGGATTTCTTTCATTTGGATGTTGGAACTCATGGACTGATTCTGTCAAGTCCCCTGATCCCCTTCCTATTTCTTTATCTTTTATTTCGCTTTCTAGGAGATCTCCTTAGCTTTATTTTCCAACAAATATTTCAACAAGAGATTATTCAACAAATATTTTATTGAGTGTCTGCAGTAAACCAGGTGCTATTGTAGATGGGGATACAATAGGGAATAAGCCTATGAAATTCCTGCTGTAAAAATTTCTGCCCTTGCCCCAGCCAGGTGGCTCAGTTGGTTGAAGCATCATCCTATACACCAAAGAGGTTGCAGTTAATCCCTGGTAGGGGCTGATAATGGGAGGCAACTGATCAATGTTTCTCTCCCTTCCTCTCTAAAAATTAATAAACATATCCTCAGGTGAGGAATTAAAAATTTTTTTCTGCCCTTTCTGCCTGGAAAACTTAAGCTTTGGAGCCAGTAGTTTGAGCTTGAGGAGAGGACAGTACATTGGGTTTTTACCAATTAGTGTGTTAGTTTTCACTTGATTGTCCTGATATGCTCATGGTACCTGTCACCTGTTCTTTAACTATGCCTGATGTCCCTGATCCAGAATTTATTTGGTCTGACCTTCTTGGAGAGTAAACTGTAAGAATTCTGGCTTGGGGGATGGACTCTGGTGTCTTGACTGTTCATTATAGACTTTCAATCAGTACTAGATATATCGCCCACACAGACTCTGCCTTCAGACATTGGAGGCGCCTGGTATGTTTAATACAGTAACTCATCATGAATAGAATTTCTTTGTCAAATCATACTTCAGCCATAGGATAAAAGCTATACCACCTCTCTTGACACCCTTCTAAATTTGCCTGTCATAATATGGTGACTCATAGAACAGTGAAGTGGGGCAGGCGGATAAGAGATGGTTTGGTGGGTGCAGGCACAAGTATAAAGCAAAGACATGGGGTTTGTACAGGAAAATGTGAACATATCTGACAGGTTAACTAAAACAATTCAACTTCAGGAGTGGTTTCATCGAGATTAAAAAGGTTATTGGTGGGGCTATTTTTCTGCTAGCACTCGTTTATTTCACTCTTGCACAGGATGAAATGTCAGCAATTTGTATTTTAATTTTTCAGGTTTGGAAACCAGAACAGAGAACAAAGAGTTAATTCCAAAGCAAGAAAGTCTAGAAGTAGAGCCACAGATGCAGCTACAAGAAAGATCCCAGGGGAATGCTCCCCTGTTGTCCAAATGTGGTGACACCCATGAGGAGATGGTAGAAAAGCACTCAAGAAACCCTTTATTCCTGAAAATTGAAAATTCTCCTGAGGAGCAAAGACTCACCAGCATCTCAGATCTCAAGAATGTTCCCACAGAAGAGGGAGACTCCAAAAATAATGAAATTGGGAATAGTGCCAGAAGTTCCAACTTGGTTCTTTGTCAGCCTGGCCTGACAGTAGAGCGGTCTGTTAATGGTGCTGAACATGGCAACAGGTGCAAACAGAGTTTAAATATAATGAAACTTCAAGTGGTGAAACCTCACAAATCTATTGACAATGTGGAAAATTTCCATACTTCAGGCCTTTTTCAGACCCAGAGGCAGCTCCGTGAAGAAAGACCTTATAAATGTGATAACTGTGGAAAGAGTTTCAAACAGCGTTCTGACCTCTTGAAACACCATAGAATCCACACTGGGGAGAAACCCTATGAATGCAAAGAATGTGGGAAGAGCTTCACTCAGAGTACTGCCTTGGTTAAACACCAGAGAACGCATACAGGGGAAAAGCCATACACATGTCCCAAATGTGGGGACAGCTTCAGACAGAGCTCACATCTCAATCGGCATCAACGAATCCACATAGGAGAGAAACACTATAAATGTTCTGAATGTGGGGAGACCTGCCGTATTTCCAACCGTTTTAGACATCAGAGAATCCATAAAGGGGAAAGACCCTATACATGTGAAGAATGTGAGAAAAGCTTCAAACGGTGCTCTGACCTCTCTAAACATCAGAGAACCCACACCGGGGAGAAGCCTTATGAATGTTCCGTCTGTGGGAAACGCTTCAGTCAGAGTGCGACCCTCATTATACACCAGAGAACTCACACTGGAGAAAGACCTTATAAATGTCTTGAATGTGGGGATAGCTTTAGACAGAGTCCCCACCTTATTCGACACCAAAGGATCCACAGAAATAAAGCCCCATCATTTTGACATGATTCTGCATGAGCTGTTTTCTTTCATTTTATTATTGCCCTGAAACTACATTCTCTGGCTTTTGGTACATTTCAGTCAATCATGGGTCTTATTTCCTTGGGCATCACAACCAAGATAGATTCAGTCTGACTTAAATCTCAAGACATATGTTGATAGAGTATTGCTATGAAGGAGAAGCATGTAAGTTGGGAGCCCCTCTACCAGATGGATCTGTGGAGGAGACTTCTGAAAAGGGTGCAACAGTCTGTCCTTGTCTCTCCACCCTTACCTCTGCTGCTATTGGACCAAATCTTCCGCACTCACATTACTTCGCTAAGAATTCATTTTAGTAACTTACAATTGTCTTTCTACTTAGATGGTAGAGAGGATTTCAATACTTTCTCATTCAAAACACCTCATACATTCAGTTCAGTGAATGCAAGAGCCACTCTGTTTTTGACTTTTAAAATATTCAGTTTTACAGAGTTCCTCTTTCCCACTCTTTCCCTATTGTGTTAAACTGTAGGCACAACTAAAACTTGGATTAGAGCCTAAATCTATCTTTTTCTCTTTCCAGTCCTGCACACTAGTAACATCTATTGCATCTAAATACTTTCTGAACTTTTTTTTTAAACTAAAGGGATATAAGCACATGACTGGATATTTGGGAAAACAACAAGGGAGAAAATGACCCATACTCCCACACTTGATCTGTTACTGGCATTTACAGTTAATCATTGAACTACGTGAGGGTTAGGGGTGCCTACACCCTGCACAGTCAAAAAATCCATGTATAACTTTGACTCCCTCCAATATTTAAGTCATCCCTAGATATCTGTGGGGATTGGCTTCAAGATCCCTGCTGACAAAAATCTGCATATGCTCAAGTCCCTTCTATTAAATGATGTAGGAAAATACATTTAATCAGCATTCCATGTTTGCAGATTTCCAACCGCAGGTTGAAAATACTGTCTTCCATCTGCAATTGGTTGTATCCACGGATGTGAAACCTGTAGGTACAGAGTGCTGCCTGTATATTTATTGAAAAAATTTGTGTATAAGTGGACCTTTGCAGTTCAGACTTGTGTTCAAGAGTCAATTGTATTTCCTTCGGATTTTTTTTCTGATATTTTTGTATAATAAAAATTAGTTTTTATATTTTGTGTATTTAACATTAGGTATTAAGGATTTTATATGGTTTTTAATGGCTGCATCATATTCCAACAAATGGATATAACAATGGAGCCATTTTCCTTTTATTGGAAATTTCAGGCATTTCTCATTTTTTTTGTTGTTGCAAACAAGGCAGTATGTAGTGAATGTTAATGTCATTTTAGCATAATTTGGATTGTTCTCTAGAATCTAAGACTAGGTTCTCAGGTAGAAATCTGATCAGTGTGTGAGCTATTTTTGGCTTTTAATACAACTTCCCAATTTCCCCTGAAGCAAACGTCAATTATGTTCTATTATGAGAATTCTACTCTAGCATTGTCACCTTACCTCGTATTTTTTTCCTAAATGTACAAAAACGGAAACCAAAGTAATTGCCTTTCAGATCTCACCTCTGTCTTGGATGTGATAGAATAGTAGTGTGTGCTTTCTTCTTTCACCTTCCTTGTAACCAACAGGAGGGACTGTGAAAGGGCTGGCCTAGGTATCGTTAACTTTTTATTTAAATGAGATTCAGTATTAAGAAAACGACTGAGAATGGGGCAATGATAAAAGTTTAAGCAGGTCATAAGCTGTATCAGTGGTATTTTCTCCAAGCTTATCAAGGATATTTTCCCAAAGTCAGATAGTGATAGTTATATAGTATATAACCTGGTACAGGTTCTGATCCTAGTGTTCTTTTTACTATAGTAACTCTGCAAACTTAGAATGAACTGTCCTCTCTCCAATTTTAGTTTTTATCTATCTTCTACAGATATTTACTGCTACCTATATGCTACTTAAATTTCCCACATATATGCCTTTGGTCAAGATGTTTCCTCTGCTTTTAATCCCATCTTCCTTTCCTCAGTCCCTAAATCACAAATAACAAAGGAAAAATTCCACTCTCATAAAACAATTTAAAATTTTTGTTTCTCAAGTATCTTACCCCAAAATGTTTTCTTTACTAACACTATGGGTAGGTTTTGTTTACGTTTACCATACCAACTACTGTATACAGTAAATTAATGTGTTTATGTAATCTGATCCCTATATTATGAAGGGTGAGTGTCTTAGTCTGCTCTGATGCCATAAAAAAAAAAATAACAGACTGGGATGATAAATAGCATTTATTTTCTCACCACGCCCCGACTAGGGCTGGGGACTCCAAGATCAGGATGTTGGCAAGGTTGGTTCCTTCTGAGGCCTCTTTCCTTGGCTTATACATGGCTGTCTTTTCCTTATCTTCATGTGGTCTTCCAAATTTCCTTTTCATAAGGACACCAGTCATAAGATTTCAGCCCACCCTAGTGACTTCATTTTAACTTAATCACCTCCTAAAAGGCCCTGTCTCCAAACACAATCACATTCCGAGACACTATGATTTAGGGCTTCAACATATACATTTTGGGGGTAAAAACACAAATAATACCAGAAACTGCTAAAAAACGAAGCTTAGGTATTTGTTCAATAATTCATTCAGCTTTTTCTAATTGAAACACTTCAATTCTTTTGACAAAAATATAGGTGGTCTTTTTCTGATCTCAGATTAGTGAAGAATATCTTAAACATGTATAAAGTTAACTTATGATTAACAGCTCTAAAAAACACCCCAAAAGCTATAGTTGTTCATTTCTCGCTCCTGTAAGTTTAAGGCACATACACATGACTGGCAGGGTGGCTCTCCTCCAAGCCATCAGTTTGATGGCAGCCCTGCCATCTTCAATACATGGCTGCCAAAATGCCCTGGGTTTTCTAACCTAGTCAACTGGAAGGAAGACAAGAGCACAGAGGTGTCAGAGCTTTCATGGGCCTAGCCAAGAAGTAGCACACATCACCTCTACTCATTCTCTTGGTTAGGACTCAGTCACCTAGACATGTTGAACAATACAATCTGTGAAATGTGATCTAGCTGTGCACCTAGGAAGAAAAACAAATTTCTGATAAATTGGTAGCAATCTGAAACAAGACTCAAAAAGCACTATAAAAGACTGATAAATTCAACTACATTAAGATCAGGAAAAGACAAAATAGAAATCACAGCCCATGATAATGAAAAGCTGCTCAATTATATTAGTAATAATAGATATGCAAATTAATGCACAATTAGATACTACTATTTCACACCTTACAGATTATCAAATCTTTAAAAATCTGTCAGGCCCTAGCCTGTTTCGCTTAGTGGAAAGAGTGTTGGCCTATGGACTGAAGGGTCCCGGGTTTGATTCCAATCAAGGGCATGGTTGTAGTCTCGATCCCCAGCCCTAGTCGGGGCGTGTGCAAAGGCAACCAATTGATGTGCCTCCCTCAAGGCGATGTTTCTCTCTCTTTCTCTCCCTTCCCACTCTCTCAAAAAATCAATGGAAAAATATCCTCAAGTGAGGATTAACAAAAAAATAATTTTAAAAATGTCAGAACCAAGTATTCATAAACACATAGAGTGGTGGGAACTCTCGTCTATTGCTGTTGGGTGTGTAAACTGTTAAATGTATTATAGAAAGTTTGGCATTACTGATTTTAGAGAGAGAAATGATTTGTTGTCCCATTTATTTATACATTCATTGGTTGATTCTTTTATACGCCCTGACTGGGGATCAAACCTGCAACTTTGGTGTATCGGGACAGCTCTCTAACCAACTGAGCTACCCAGCCAAGGCTTGGCATTACTTATTCAGGCTGAAAAACGTATGTATCTTATGACTCATCATGAAAATGTGTCTATGTCTAGGGCTTTTCACAGGGAACTAAGGCATGTTGACATGTTGTTTTATAATAGCCCTAAAGTGGAAATACCCTAAAAGCCCATTGACAGAAGAATAGATTCGTAAGTTGTGGTATACTCCTACAAAGAAATACTGAGCACCAGTAAATATGACTGGACCACAGCTACACAGAAATACGGATGATTCTCAAAACACACGTGCAGTGAAAGTACAAAAGTATTCATGTATGTAAAATTTCAGAATAAGCAGAACTAAATAGTGTAATGTCCAGACATGAGTAAATAGTATGTATACATTATACAAAGGAATGATTAACATGAAACTCAGAGTATTTTATTTGTTAACCTTTGGTGAAGAGAAAGGGAGATGAGTTTGGAGAGATTGTAAGGGGCTTTGTGATTCTGAAAATGACCTAATTCTTAACTAGGGTGAAGATGCCTGGGAGGTTCTTTTTATAATTATTTACTGTCACATATCTTCATATACTTTTGCATTATATTATTTATTGTGAAATAATTGTATCCAATAACTGGATACAATAGTTTATTATGAGATATTGCTAACATACAAATAGCCTGGTTTTAAAGAACATTCACATATGTACCACACAGATTTATCCATTCTTAACATGCCAGATTTGTTTCAGATCATTTGCTTTTTTCAAATACGTTTTTATTGATTTAAGAGAAAGGGAGAAAGAGAAACATCAGTGATGAAAATCATCAATCTGCTGCCTCCTGCACGCCGCCTACTGGGGGTTGAGCCACAACCCGAGCACGTGCCCTGACAGGGAATGGTTAAAACAACTCTCTAAGCAGTTTTCTACTGCCCCTTCTTTCCAGTTAGAAACTTGTGGATGTGAGGGATCCTCTTCCTCCCGTTATTGTACTGGGAAATGGGAAAGAAAAAATAATGGGGATATGTAGAGTTTTAAAAACACTTAAATGGAAAAGCATAGGTAATTACTATAGACATGATAAAAGGAACATTTGTACATTCTTAAACTTGAAGTTTGATACAAGTAACTTTCCATGTGGCAACAGTTGTGTTGATTGGCTAGGTTTCTCCCATGTGTTTTATACAATTTGGAATTGATAAACCATTTTTATTTTACAAAAAATATGCTTGGAATAACTGTGGGAATGAAAGGA